TGCTTCATCTAGACACTTCATTAAGGTTATCCAAATGTATTTTTGTTTTTTATTTAAATTACAAGAAATACATATTTCTGAAAGTATGACTTATGCTTAAAACAGTATATTAATCATACACTGTATCCCAGGTGTCTATCTTATTATCAAGCTGCCTCATATACCTAATTTTCCTCTGCAGATTTAAGGAAGAGAAACTCTGCCACCATAAAACCATTTCCAATTTACACACACAATCAAGCATAAGCATTGACAATTTGCTAAAAACCACCACTGAATCTGGCCAAAAGAAGTATCAGTGATTGGCACCACTCCAGATTTAAACATGTTCAGATGAAAGGAGAAATAGAAACTATTTTGGTAATTCCTTATGGTTAAAAGGACTTCTTTTAGGTCTTAATTCAAAAATTAACAAAATCAATGCAAAGATTTTCACAGACTTCACTGGTTTGAGATCAGAGCCTTAGTATATTTTTACGTTAATACATAAACAATAAATATGCACAATGAAGCATATTAAAGCCCACAAACAGAAACCACTAGGAAACATAATTTCTTGAAATTGTGTATCTTTTATTTTAGTTGGATGCTGAAATTCAGCTTCATTACATTTTTGTAAGTGCTAATGAGGAGCTTGCAAATACTCGTCCCTCAAAAACTGTCGATCATTTTCCCCCTACTTTCTCATTACAAGAAGCTTCCATATTAAATATAGAATTTTCCTTTTTAATTAAATTAAGTGACGGTCACTTCTCCTTAAAAAAATGTCGTGACTGACATCGATCCATTCCGAGCTGGAGGAGGATACCTACTTCTGGAATTGCAGGTTGACAATGCTGTTCTCATCACAATGGACCTTGCCATTGCACTTTCAAAGCTGATCTATAGAGGGTATAACGCTTTCAGGTGGAATTTTGTCCAAGACCACACACAATACATACTGACAGGAAATAAGGACCACCACCAATCTCATCACTTTCCAAATGAAAGAGACTTCTTTGACCCTAAATTCGCCAACCTGAGAAAGCTGCATATACACTTAATTTTTTGAATAAACTATTTTGAAGAAGTGACTGCACACTCAAAAGTGCACACGTACTATTTTCACCAGGTGGGGAAGAAAACGAACGATACCCGGAAAGTCAGTCTCTCGGCTTAACGCACAGTAGGAGAGCATCAGACATGACTGAGATTAGGCGACTTACAGTGAATCCATTTCTGAACACCTCACCTCACAGACATAATATCTAATTTTGTCATCTGTTGGTAGCCCAGGCAGCAAGGCCCAGGATCAGAAGGCAGAACGAATCTCTTCCTCACAGGAATATTAGTATCTCCACCCCAGGACTGAAGAGCACTTGTGAATTGGGCAAATATCAAATGCTGTGTTATGTTTTCCCTATCTGCAAAGGGGGAACTCTATTTTTCATGGCTGCCATTCTGGTACTTTGCTTCAGCGCTATTTTTAGCTGAAGCGCTATATTTAGCGCTATATTTAGCTAAAGTAATAGTTCTAAAAAGAATTAGAATGTCTCGACAAAACAGCGCACACAAAAAGAATACAAGCAGGCATTAAAAGCAGAAAAGCAGAAAGCAGGGCATACAAAGCATTGGTATAGCAATACTAAGGTGCCTGGGAAATGCTCTGACTCAGTGGTACGGCGCTCTCATTACTGTGGTGGATACTGGAAATCCCAACCGGAAGATAGTGGCTAAATAGCTACTGGAGTGCAACCTGCAGTCAGTTTGACTCGTGACATGGCATGATAATTCCTCTCCACAGCTGTCAAGAAAAATCTCAGGTAAAATTTGAAAACATGGGGCAGCAGGCTCGAACAGACAATTCACTTAATTTTAGGATTGTTATGAAAGCACAAATGAAGCATAGAGAGCTAAAAAATACAGCAACGCAAAGATATTCATCAGATTGGTGAAGTTTGATGTTCTGTAGACACCTTCGAAAGCAACTGAAAATGCTAAATGTAGGTGGCAACCTGCTTGTGTCTTGTCCTGCATCTACCATGCATATGGTATCAACACTGGCTTAAAACTAGGACCCTGTTTCAGCTCGACTCTTCTGTCAGCTTTTATGTTGCACACTGCACAGCAGATTTCATCCTGGAATAGCATATTTAGCACACACAGTGGACAGTACCAGCCTTCTCTGTATAGTTTTACTGAAGGATTAGAACAGTATTTGCCATTAATTTCCCTGAACTGAATAGCACTGATGGTTTCTTCACCTTTCCAGCAAAAGAACAAATATAGCTTGAACTGGAAGGTGGGGCTTGAATCTTGGAAAGAAATATGCTCTGTTCTTGTCTTTCTCTCAGACTGTGGAACAAATAATGATCTATCACTCACAGAATTTTTAGGTCCATCTCACTGCACATCATATCTGCTTCTAGGAAGCAAACTGCATTTACTCGTAAGGAAACGATAGCATTCAGAGGGTGAAATATAAAGGAGTCTCATTTTTAAACACACATACAGAAGGACTGAATAAAATCATTCTGAAGTGCCTTCTACAGGCTATGCTTTTGTGACTGTTTTAATCCTTTGATTTTCTTTACTGCATCAAAAGGTTGAGAAATTCTGTTCATAGATTTAATTTACAGATGACTACTACTACTATTACTAAACCCTTAAGTCTTCACTCCTAGCACTACAAAATACAGGGTACTACTGAGAGGAACAGAGGATGCATCCAGTTTTAGACAGATATCCCATTTAATCCTACCTCAATATCCTGTGGCTGAAGAGCTACTAGAATCCTTTTTTCAGGAAACAGAACACTGAAGGAATACAGTGATGAACAACTAAACATTTGAATGCAACACTAATACAAAACTATAAATAGTCTATAACAAAAAGACTTTTGCAGAGGAAAAAATGAGAGCCTTGGATATTCACCAATGTTTTCTTTTCCAAGTCCTGTCTTTCATATAAGGCCCATTATTGTCTGAGTGAGCGCTTCAAAAATACTCCTGTTAAGACTCTTCCCTGAAATAAAAACTCACTATAGCTTCCAGGGGAATGGCATCAGGACCTCATTGTTCAGCACCGGCAGCTTTATCTAACTGGATGCAGACCTTCAGATTCTCCCATGTGTGCAGTCCTTTTCATCAGCTTTGAGGGAAAAATACTCTTGGACGTGAACCACTGACACAAGTGCTTTCGGCATGACCTGTGCATTGTTATAAACTTGACCTAGAGGGACAACCCCCACCCAGCATTTAAATGTCTCAAGTTATGTTAAATGCAGTGCAACTTCCTTCCAAACCACTGGATTTTGGGGGTTTAGTTTTCAGATAGGTTAGCTAGGGTAGCTATTAAGAGCACACACCATTCATTATGGAAACTCGCAGGGATCTGATCTGCACACAGCATTTGCCCAACCCATCTCTCATTTCTTCTTGTTTCAATTTGTTATCAACAAATTGATTTCAGTGGCATTACTCAAATTATAGCGGCCTAAGTGAGGGGAAAAAAATCAAACTCAAGTACTGCAGCCAATATTGCTGTCTGAGAAAGTCAGCCCATATCCTCTGTTTCATTTGATAACAACTAGTTAGAATGAGTGTTTTGCGCAGAGTGAAATTTAGCTCTTACGCCCTTTGTGTGTTTGTAACTGCACTGCACAAGTCAATGATTTGCATAAAGAGCGTTTTAAAATGTCTCCTGACTCTTACCATCATAGACTTTGCTAGACCACTGCTGTCAGAGTGCTTTGCTGGCAATACAAACAACAATTAAACAACGCAAATGAGCAAGAGAAAGGAAACAGTTTCCTCCTCCTTCCTGAGTTCAGCTACAGTGAGCCCATCACCAGCACAGTTGCAGCTCCGCAGAAGGACCTGCAGCAGCACAGCTCAGCAGTGCAGTTAGGTTCCCGTCGAGCGACAGTCCCGAACGCGTACTAACTACAATGCTGGACTACAACCACTCTCAGCTCCATGAAGTACATGTTGGAAGGCAAACAAGAACCAGCTGCAGTACCTACTCTGTGGTGCCACCAGGTTTCATGGATCCAGTGTGTGGTGTTAACACTTGCCATCCAGGTTTTTCCCTCCCCTTAAACCTCAGAAGCGTGAGGGACCTTTTTGCTAATGCACAAGGTGCCTTCTTTGGGGATAAGCAGATTTTGTTAGGGTTTCCTCCCGGCCTCCTTCCCTCCTTCCCCCTCCCCCCCCCCCAAAATTGTTGTTGTTCTTGCTGAGATCTAGCTTTCAAAGACTTTTTGAAAGGGTTGTGTAGGGGGAAGACTGTTGAAAATACAGAAGCATAAAGGCTTAGAGTGATCTAGTAACTTAGGTCCTCTAGTCCTATTTTCAAAAGATGCTCAAAAGTCTACTTTTCACAAGACCACCAAAGCACAGAGCCCACTGAACTCACCGCAAGTTAGATTATGAGTCTAAAACAGAGACTACTCTGTGCTCCAAGGTCACCATCTTAGAACGCAGTTATAAAATGTCTTTTACAGACTACTCACTTTTTAAGGATGAACAGGACCTATTATGGACAGTTTTGAAAATCTTAATGATCATATTAATAAAACAATATACTTTTAGTAGGAACATCTTATAACTGTGCTGTTGTGAGAATCCCATTTTACAAAAATAGATATGCACAAAAGTGGAAGCCAGCTAAGTTTGTTTTCGAAAGATATCCCTCATATATAACTCTCTTCCCCAAAGCCCTGTTATTAGCATTTCCTTGACTTTCTGGTGACACTAAG